GGGTGTGGATGTGAGTGGGTGTAGGTGTGGGTGTTCCCTTTATGTTCACCGACCCCATGCCCACACCCACACCTACCATTTCCACGTAGCCTTCGAATGATTTGGAAAGCAGTCGTTGGATCGTGTACTTTGACTGCATTTTCTATGTCTATGCTTAACTCCTCCCAATATTCATGTTGCCTAGCATATACTTTGTTTTGTACTGTTTTTGCCAACGTGCGGTATCTGTTTCTATATTTCTTCTTGTTGGCCGTACTGCGATGTAGTTGCCAGTCGACATATGCTTTATCTTTTTTATCGACAATTTCCTTCACTTCTGGTGTGAACCATTCTTTACCGCCTTTATGAATGCCTTTATTGTTTCCAAAGTAGCATCTAACATGTTCTCGAACACTATTAACAAATTTTGTGAACCTTTCGTTTACCGATAAGGTTTTATTTTCGCGCCGAATGGCTTGGTTTTCGTTCTCTAATTCAATTCGGAAAGCAGAGAGTAAATTAGTATCTGTCAATTTTGACTGATCAAGTCGTAATTGACATTTTTTTCTGTTTTTCTACGACATTTCCAATGTAAACGAACTTTAGCTCGTAATAAATGATGAACTGTTCCAATACCACCAGTAGCACCTCTATGAACCAGTACATCTTGTACACTAGATCGAAATTTACGATTAACTAGTATATAGTCTAACATGTGCCATTGTTTAGTTTTTGGGTGCATCCATGTGTCTTGGTGAACTGCTTTATGTGGAAAGAATGTGTTAGTAACTATAAAGTTGTTAAATAATTAGACAGAAATCAACTAGTCGACGACCGTTTTGATCTTGTTTGCCAATAGCATGTTTACTGACAGTTCCTCCGGCTGTATTGGCCTGTTCTATTCCAAGATGAGCATTAAAATCACCCATTATCATAATCATATCATTCTTATGAGTTTTATCTATTGTTGCTTGTAGAGTTTTATAGAACTCGTCACATGTTTCAACATGTTTTTTATCCCCATTCGAGGGATTTATAGGTGCATAAACAGCTATGATGGTGATTGGTACAGGTCAACACTCAATACGGACAGTTACACTTCTTGGACTCACTGCTTCCCATTGAGAACCCGAGTTCTTCCAAGCACAAGTAGCTTCACGACCCAAACATACGGCTGCGTCATGTGCAGATTTTGATAATAATTGAGAAGGTGAACCTGACTATATGAACGAATATCCATTTACCCAAGAGGGAAAAAGCGAGACTTCATCGTACTTCCCTTGTACTGCCTCTGTAATCACTCGTACTTCCCTATACTTCACTTGTGTTTCTACTTGTGCTCCACTCATACTTCACTTTACTTCACTCCATTTCACTTGTG